TTCGCTGTAAACAATGTCAGGGTTTATTCAATAGTACGGGACGAAAGGGGAGGAATCGTATGGCTCATTCATGGTTTCAGCAATCTTATCGATGTGGCCAGGGTGCAGAGTACACCAGCCACAAATCCGGCCAATACAACAGTACGAATATATACATGTGTACAAAAGGGAGGCCACACCTGCGATTTGGCCACGACTTTGGCCCATTAATGAAAGGGGCCAGCACCTTCAGATCAACAGTTGGTCCGTCGCCTGTCTGTGTTTGCTCAAACAGGTCACGATCGATACAGCTAACTTGTAAAAATGCCAAAGCGAGTGCTTCTATCTCTTATGTCTTAATATGGGAAAGTTATTTTATATAAATACATTTCTTAATATCCAGTTGAAATTTCTCTCACGTAAAAACTGCAAGTAAACGATAAATAATTCTAAATGTTAACCTTTGGTTTATTTACCAAAGAATGAGAAAACCCCATGTATTTCCGGCCAGCTTAACTGGTATTTAGCTCCCTAATCAGAGAGTGTTTACTCTCTAGAGCGAGCACTGTACTCGCCGTCCTATCATTATCATTCAGCATTTTGGGGCCGCACAATAGCAACAACAGCCGTCGCCGTCGCCATCGCTCACATGATCGGCGAAAGTCGCGACGCAACCGCTTGGGTACAGTTGCCAATCATTTCATCCGCCGCCCTCCTCCGATCCCGCTCGCCCTGCCGCTCTGCCGGCACGGTGCTCATTATCATAATCACGCCAGCGCATGCCGCCGCCACCCACTTGGCAAGGTCACGGTTAACCGCCCGCTCGCCACGATTTGTCATGATTACTAATCACGAATTCCCCGCTCTATTCCAAATCTCTCTTGCAGGCATCACAATCTGGGCCTGTCTGCCTCGCTGCCGGATCTGGTGGGAAGCCCCCTGGAGATTAACATGGACAACGTGTTGACCATCGAGGAGCTGCGCCAGCACATGGGCTCCTGCTTCACCTGCGGCGTGTCCTGGACGGACGACCATGTGTCACTCGACTGCACCGAGTGCGGTGGCTACAGCCTGGAGCGTCCCTGTCCCCTCTGCGACGGCCAGTGCGGCGTTCAGTGGAAGCGTGACTTTGCCATGGTGAGTTCACTTTTCGCTCCCTGCAAACGGGCAAACGGAAACTGCGACTCGAACTTAAGTTCCTAGATTTCCTGCCACCATCATTCAGAATTCGATATCTCTAATTAATTGTTTGCTTTGCCAAGTCTCACTTTTGATGGATACTAATTAAATGCGAGTACGAAAAGTAAATCCGATAAATATCCGATGGAAAACGTTAATATGCATAACACCACTGGTTGACACCTCTATACTTTTTCGATAAGTCAACGCAAATAAGACTTTTGTAGCACTTGTGAAATTAATATAATATATGTATCTGCAAAGTACATATTTGCTAGATTGCTGTTTAATCAAATGTACGAAACGTTGAGTTATAATGACTACGCAATATCTTTATAGCACTCTGTTGCTCTCATAAATGTTTGAGTTGTACGAATTCCGATCCGTTTTTGTGTATATTTAGGATGTGGAGCGCAAGACTAAATCCTTTTATTTCTCTTACAGTCCCATGCCTGCAGTCAAGCTCGCTGGGTGGGCGTGTGCATCAGTTATCCGGAGGTCGTGGCTGGAGTCCAGTTGCCCGTTGGAGGAGCCGCTGGAGCCGCCACCTCATGTGCCGCCGCCGCTGCGAATCAATTGCGCCTGGCCCAGGAGCTGTGCTCCCGCCTGGAACAGCTGTCGACGTCATCGGCGAGCAAAAGCGGACGCATCTAGACCGTCGACTGCCGCGTCACAGTTCCTTTGACAGCCAGACTGCAAAAACTCGCCTCCACATCCACAGTCACGCCCCCGCACAGCCACTCATCCGGATAGCAGATAGCAGATCCACACAAAAACACACTGTCTCACCCGTAATTTAGGGCCTAATTGCTAAGCTTTTTAGTTGTTAGTTTTTATTGTTGTGTCGCGTTAAGTCTCTTTTTTGCACAATTCCCCTTCGTTGTATGATTTCATCACCGGTTTCGTTTTCGTTTCGTTCGTACAAATGTTTTAGCTGCTAAGTTAGTTCCTTTGTTTACCTTTTAATGGCACACCACACCTGTTCTAACCGGGTAAAGACTTCTTTCTGCTTAGACTTAAGCTGAGTTTAGGCATTGCAGTGATAACGGTGATATTAGCCAGAAAGAATCGTGAATCGTGAACAAATAGTGAATTTATTTTGATAAAAGTAGCAAAAGTCTAACGGTAGCTACTAAAGCATTCGACACTTAACAGCCCTTGTTGTAATCGTGTAGAGATTGTTGTTAACAATTAGTTAGTCAGTTGTTGTTGCTTTTTGCCTTGTGTCAAAGCTTGCTGGTAGCGAGGAGCTCCGGAGAACCGGAGGGCTCGGTGAGCGTACAAAGAATCTTCCAAAATGTGCATAATGCTCAACAAAGTAACTACAGGATTGAACAGTCTCTGTCTCTCTCTTCTACCGAGGGGAAAGCGAAAGCGCAAGAAAACAATACGAGGGAATAGAAGAGTAAATATTTAAGTAAATATTTAAGCTAACGCACAAGGAAACAATTGAAAAGCATTACTCAAAAAGTTGAAGATTTTCTGTGAAAATCCATATGACAAGTAGACAAGTTTATACCTAATATATACACCTATATATTATATTATATACCATATAAATCTGCATACAATATACATATATATATATATATATTTTTAATGTAGAGATATGTTTTGTAAAAGACAAAGGCATATTTTTAAAATTAAATACTTAAACTATGCAAAAATCAAAGCAAGCAATCTCTTTTTTCTATAATTAATGCCGGCTCGTTTCCCCGTTGCCAGGGCGCGCACGATTCGCGCTTCGCTCAACTTGGTTGCCATTGTCCAATGACGGGAGGCGGCACGCGGTGTAAGCTGGAATCTAATCAGTGTTTATGATCATCACCAAGTGGGCGCCGCCATAGCCATCACCTGCCTCGCTAAGTGGAACGCAAACACGCTTGACTTGTGCTGCTTCTGGGATTCTTCTCTCGGCCCAGAAATATATGACATCTTTCTTGGGCGCCATAAAGTGGGATCTCACCTGCTTTCGGCTAATTTATCGCTCTTTGTATTCATGTAAGGCGGCACAGGTTTCGAATTTCATCATCTCTTGTTTGGGATTTCTCAAAAATCCAACTCTCGCTTTGTATGTCGTTTCGTTGTAATCGCCTTCCGGAATTGCTTTCATTATGGTTATTATTGGACTCTTTGATGTCCTCCTCTTATTATCATTTCTGGGAATACATTTTTATCTGCGTTCTCAAAAGTTGTTCACTTATCAATGAGCGCGTTGTAGCGACTTGCTTATGGATTTTAAATCACAATTGGGATCTATCTTCTACACGTTTTCACTTCCTCTCCATAAATATATCTACGTATGAAATATCTTACATACGATTGCTATTCCTGGTATTACGATTTGATTTCACCAATATTTTGATTGCTAAAAAGCTGCATCAATGGGTCTTAGCATGACTCTTGGCCAGGCAGCAACAGAGGCTGCGACTCCGGCTTTTGCAGCTCCTTCTGCGTTGCCGGACGTACCAAGTCGGAGTGTTGAGCGAGACGATACTACTTTCGGCTGCCGGATCCAGATCCAATTCGGGAGAAATCTCTGGCAAGGGCAAATGGGCTTGCAGCTCCTCCAAGAGCTCTGACAACTCTTGGGAGTCTTTAACAATGCTGCACAATTCCTCCTGCTGGAAATCGGGATTGATCTGCTTACAAAGCAATATCTGGCTTATCACGTTGCCCAGATTGGAGGGAGCAGTGCGGGATGGAGCTGCAAGGATTCCTTGGGACAATTCATATGTCCGATATAAATGCGTTCTTACTTACCATAATACTCGGTCATGTCCAGAGGCACCAGCTGTATCAACCGGTAGCTCTTTATCAATTCATGCTGGAATTGCTGGGTAAGGTAAAAGAGCAGGGTCAAGTGCATCCTTTCACTGGGACTGCCCAAGCAGTGACGTGGCTGCGGCGTAATTAGGTGAGCGGTGTGCTTGCAAGCATCGACGCAGTTACGTCTCAGCTTTCTGATCTTCTCGCGCAACTCTGGGGAATCCCTTGCCTGTCCTATAAAGATGAGCAGCTCTCGAAACTGGGCCACATGGCAATTGATTTCCGTAATGAGCTAAATGGATGCAGAAAAAGTTGTAAGAATGCATACTAAGCGGATTGAAGGTCAGCGTGGATTACGGATAAAGGAGGTTGGCCCTCTTCCAAAATACGTTAATGTATTGCAACATAGATTTATGTGCCTTTAATTTGATTAGCCCTTTTCTCAAAGCCTTTTTATTAGATATCGTTTCAATTTATTGTTTTTGGCTAATATTACCTTCTGGGGATCCCTCGAGGGCAACAACAGCTGGGGCAAATAAATGGACAGTCTATGGGCGATTATCGTGGAGTTCCGAATGGCCAAGGCTGTGCTACTGGCCACGCTCGCCGCTGGCTTCTCGCCCAGCCCGGATGCCGAGCAGAGGCCGCCACTTCCGACATGGGCCATGTTTGGATGCAGACTGCAGCACAGCCATCCCCATAAGTATGCTATTATAAACCATGCTGCAACATGCTGTTAGAGTGTGTGGGTGTGTGTGCATCTGGCGAAGGGGCTATCTTATGTAAGCAAATTGCGGCTGTCCCGTCTCATTACCTTGTGTCAACAAGTCACGCCAGCTAAACAGCAACAAATGAGCCAAGTAGAAAAAAAAGCCCCCACAGACCCGACCCTCAACGTTCCACTTTCACCCGGCGCAGCGCCCCGCAGCCTCAGATGAAGCTATTATGAGACCAGCAGAGCTGCCATGAAGTGCCACATGAGACGTTGTTTTTATGGATTCTCTAGCACTCACCGCACTCCACACAAAACACACAAAAAATATATACATATATAAATAAAACGATTGATCCTTGTCACAGAAAGCTCTGCGCATCTTCGATGATATACTCGGTTATCCTCCCCGGTGTGTCGATATACAAATCGACAGAGTCATAGTCGATGGCTTCCAGTTCGTCGAATATCATTTGGTCATTGATGCTGTAGGTTGGCTCCTGAAAAGAGGTTGGAAAATAAGATATCAAAGAGCCAAATCAGTAATTAAAGTTGTTTATGATCTTTCCTAAACATTAAATAAAAAAAATCTACTCCCATTCGGGAGTACACTTACTATCTTCGCATACTTCCAACATTCTATTGCCTTAAAGTTCTGGCCTAGTCGCAAGTTTATCAGCGCCAGGAATCCCCAAACATTTGGTATATGGCTCTCTACCCGCGTGCAGTTGGCAAAGCACTCGAGAGCCATGTCCAGGCTGTCCATCTTATAGTACGATTTTCCCATTAGATAGTTCGACATTAGGGGCAGTAGTTTGCCGGAAAACTGTCCGTCCAGCGCCTGGACACACTCCTGATAGTTGCCCATCTCGTACGATATGTAGCCCAGCCGTATTTTGCTCACCTGGAAGCAGTCGCGTTTGGTTCCCTCCACAGGTGGCAGGGTCAGGCTGCACTGGTAGTAGAGAGCCGCCTCCTCTAAGTTGCCTCGAGAATACTCAACATTTCCATTAACCTGTGCATTCAAGGCAGCCTAGAAGAAAGGAGTTGAGCATTAATTGGGGATTACTCTTATTAGCGTTCGAATTTGGTAACGCAAGAAGACTCATGACATTCTTTAACATTAAGCTTTTTGTAGAGAAATATTCACCAATTTGTCTGCTGCATCATCCTCTCCGAATTCGAAACTTTGTAGCTTAAAGTCTTCATCCAATTGGTTTCTCAGGACGGCTATCTGGGTATTTATCATGTACCGATCCGCATCACTGCATAGATGCTCCACGGCACCGAAGACAATCTGTGCAAACTCGTAGAGGCCCAAGCGCACAAACCTCATAAAGACTTGGAAGAAGAGATAGCCCCTCGCCGAAGAAAAGTTTGGCTCCAGGTTGAGAAAGATGCTCCACATGCTTTCCGGGGCCGGGGGAAACTTGTGCTGGTTACGCACCCGCTGATCCTCGAATCGCCAGCGAGCGAAGGCGCAGCCGGGCTCGTAATTGAACTGCTTGTAATAGCAGTACAGGAGAATCCAGGCTTCCTGTTGGTCCGGATGCAGCTCCGCGTATAGTGCTATGCTCCGCAGAAGACACTCGGTGCAGTCGGCGACGGATTCCGGGTTGTCGCGTGAGTCCATGTAGTTGATGTACAACTTAATCCAACCCCTGTGAATGCCGAAAGTCGTCGATATCAGTCCGTGACAGATAGTGTCTATTTATATCGGAGTGCCGATATCAATGTGTCGCTGCTTACGCAAAATAGTCGTTGTTGTCCGCCATGTGATTCTTGGTGAAGTACGCCTTCGCCTTGTCGTACTCGCCACGCTCCATGTGCGCGATAAGCATGTAGAAATGGAAGCCTTCGTCACTAGGGAACTCTCCGGTAATCTGGAAACCAGAAAATAAAGAGTGTTATTTAGGCTTCAAGAACTGAAAATCTCTGAGTAAGACTATCCTTTAGGGCTTTTTTTCTACTGTTCTCTTAGTCATTGGGTATTCATAACCAGTTATGTTGAATTGAGAATGTAATCAATTAGATAACAAACTCTAACGTCATAATGATCAATTGTTTACTTCCGATTTCAGTTCATTCATAACTGATACAAAACCGGGAAGGGTCGAGTAATTTCTTGTCGTTGTTATTCATAACTTTCAGTCTAATCAAATTAACGAGCGATTCACCTTCCGGTTTGTATGAATCGTTAGGTGCTTTCTTCCGTAAACAAAATATTAAATGCTCATATAAATATGGCATTTGCATTACTTTAAACTTTTTTTTGTTCCCAATATATTTAATTACTAATTACTTTATTTGTCAGCAAAAATTGTAACATTTAGGACAGAACCCGGACCTACATAGGTACGACAAAAAGTAAGACATATTACCGAGAGCATTAAAAATAGCTAAGTGACCGATTTATTTAGTTTAAATGGTCATATTAATAGAGCATTAATATTAGTTTAAACTTCTTTTTGTTTACCAATTACTTTATCTATCAGCAAAATTGTAATAGTTGAACCCGGACTGAGGTACGACAAAAAGTAAGAGTTATTACCCTGGGAGAGCATTACATACACCCTTTAAAAATAGCTCAGTGACCGATTCACTTAGTAATACTTGCTAGCTGATTGCTATTAAAAACTCCCTCGGCAATCGATCAACTTTTCCAATTAACTAATCAGGGCTGTCGAGCTCTTGGCTTAGTTATTTACGAAGAAAGTTAGTAACTGTGAGCTAACCTTCTCAAGTAGGAGGGCCGCAAAGGGCTCATCGTTCACCGTATTCAGCAGTTTGATGGCGTTCATGTGGTCGATGATCCGAGCGGTCTGGACATCCTTTCTGGTCGCATAACTGTAAAAGCCCTCGTTGTCAGCCTGCTCCACCAGGGAATAGACACGGGGCTCCAGTTCATTATATACCAAGGAGCAGAGGTTCTGTGGCATGGAGAAGTGGTCAAGGAATTCGAGTTAAAGGGCCGCTGGATCTACTGACCGCAAACTCCACACTCGTCGTAGTAGGGATTCGTGTGTTGTATACGCTGCCCACGATTTTCATCAGGATGTTTGTGAGGTTCTGCACGGCACAACAGAAGTACTGTTTGCGATCCTCTATTTGCCTCACATTCTTCTCCACAATAGCGCCGATGCAGCCGCGGATGAAGGTGTCGAAACGGGCATAGGATTCTTGTTGAATAGTGGCCAGTGGCATCACTCTATTCTGATGGTCCGGTTGGTGGCAGGATATCAGTCGGTTGTGCATGACAAAGCTCTCGTGGAACACCTTCAGCTCGTTGTAGATCTCTCCGATCGGCGCCAGCAAACAGAGTCTAATGATGGCGAACGTTGATTGATGAGCAGGATTGGAGCTGATCGAGCCCACCTGGATCTGGGCCTTGGTTGAAGACTTCAATTTTCCCACATAATCCAGCTGGACGGCGAACCTCATGTTTTGCACTGTTCCAAAACAAAGGGAAAAGCAGGAATTTAATATATATGCACTGAAAACAAAATAAACCATACTACTAAGGAGTTTCCCCTATTTTTCCCTTAAATAGTAGTGTAAAATTGTTCTTAAATTAATGGAGATTAATTTTTTTAAAGCCGTAAAATAAGAAATATTGATAGTGAATACATGTATAAGGCTATATTTATCGTCATGGCTTTGCATATCCCATGGATAACCTGTATTGTACCTACCTCCCGGGAAGACCATTATGGACGGATCCAGGACACCTTGAAAAACCTTTTGGGACTTTCCAGATCCAGTGCTTTGAAAAACATCTACAGCTAGTACATACTGCTGGTATGTGACGGCGTAGGACAGAACATCTGCCATTTTCTGGGTGAGTATGTAGCGGTGGAAGGAGTTACAAACAAGGGCCTCATCGAAGCTTCGATCGATGCCGGAAAAGGCCACAGTCATTCCTTCTGAGCAAGAAAGTCCCGAGAAGAGCTTAAACATCTCCAACTGCATGGCGGACTTTAAGCCGGTGACATTCGGCGTTTCCGTAATGCGGCAAAAGGACTCAAACACTAGGTGGGGGTCCTGCGAGCAGATGATCTTCCGCTCCAGATGGCAGAACTCGCCCAGCGGTATTAGTTGAGAGTCGTTGCCGGGCACCCTTGGGCGAAAGCTTAGTCGCACGCTCATCGACTCCTCGTCCAGAATATACTCCTCCTTCATGTTATAGATGCTCTCGAACGTCACGAAGGCCATGTTGGTGAAAGTCAGCTCCTTGGCAATGGGCAGAAGAGTATACAGGTGCCATTCCGAATGGACGGCCGAGCGCAGTTCTTTGGGCACATCCGGCATGGGGTACAGGAAGAGCTCCTCGCTGATCATGCTCCGCCGGTGGCCGAACAATTTGATCACGTCGAGGTAGCCCACACTCAGCAGCTGCAGTCTTTCCGACTCTATCGGTACCAACTCTTCCTCCTCAATGATCCTGTCCAGAGACGGGTCCACTTCTAAGTCCGCCTCCAGTTCTTCTTCCTCGAAATACAGTTCCTCCTGCGTTTCCAAGGTCGGCACCATCGGGATCACGTGCATGTACAACTGGATCAGCAGCGGATTGTCAGCAGCATGGTTCATCCGATCCACATTGTCCTGCTGGAATATCAGCGTAAAGGTGGGCTTGGAGAGGAACTCTGCTTCGAAGATAATTCCATCTATATTGTAGTGGTCCTCGCACTTCACAATCGTACTCTCGGCCTGGCTGATGTGAATCTCCAGCGGATATTCTGTGACCGGCAGGTTTTTAATGTTAGCCAGTTGGATGTAGAGAAAAACGTTTGGCGGCTGCGGATGGGGGATCAGATCCTTTTCAACTTTCGCTGGGGCCATCTTCCCTTTTTCTTTTTTTGTCGCCATTTTCTCGTCAAACTCTGGGATTGTGTATTGTATTTTGAACAGAATTAAAACTCTCTTTTTACGCAAACACCAGACGAAGCTGTCATATCCGTAGAGCACAATGTCACAGCATAATACATATAATTTTATTATGTATGCAAAAACTGGCAAGCCGCAGTGTATCCACGTAAGTATAAACAAACAAAATGCATAAGCTATTTTTTAACGCGAGACACCTATTTTTCAAATTAATGCTAATAACAATTGTTTGATTTTTGCTTGGTCTAAGATTTCTCCGACTTCCTCCTGCTTGGTTGAATGTACGTTTTGAAGTAGAATTTGGAGAACATCACGGCCAAGGCCACCGAGAAGGATCCAAACACATAGGCCACCGGTCGCGGAGAATCACAATTGGGCTGCACCAGCACGTTGAGGCATTGAAGAATGATGAGAGCAAACTGGATCAACTGAACGATGGTGATGTACTTCTTCCACCAGAGACTCGCCTGGGCCGCGGGGCTAATGGAGGACAGTAGATAATAGGTGTACATTATCGAATGTACGATCTGGTTTAGGAACGCCATTGGCAATACGGAGCCGCCGAAGCCGTATAGCGTCGGAATCGCATAAGAAAGTACGACCAGGACCACATGGTGGAACACGTGCAGGAAAGAAATCTGCCTGTTCTTCTTGCGCAGCACAAAGAACACCGTATCCAGCAGGTCCATGATTTTATTCATCGTGTACACATTTGTGATAAGGCGCTCCCTATCCTTGTACTCGTGGTCCATGGGCAATGAAACTATGCACCGCAGGTTGTAGGGCCGCAGGACGAACAGGAAGTGTGCGTACTGTTCATTGAGACTTGTGATTATTTAGTCCTTTCGGGTTGCTCAAGAGATACTCACATATACAAATGTAACGATATTGTACACGATCTGAACGATGTTATAAGCCTTGATCATGCCGCGCAGCTCAAAGGGCTTCCTCTGCGCCATCAGTTTGGGACCCAGCTTCAGGACGAACACCAGGTAGGTGGTCAGCACTATTGCCGTGGGCCACATACTGGCAAAAAATGCCATCTGGTGAGGATCTACTGGCGTAAGCATCGTCGTATTAAAAACCTCCAAGGCTTTGTCTCCCTTCGTTAACTATAAACGTGCTTTGGCTACTAAATCGTGCATTGTACTGAAGAAGCATTCTTGATTCGCAGTGTCGCATAAGCCCGACGACTACGCTAGCGCAACGATTTCCATATTCAATTCGGCGAACATTGAACTCTTGCAAAAAAAAAAAACTATTTTTTTTTAACATGTACAATATGTACGTACGCAATCAAGTGGCTCTATACTGCATTTTCCCATTATAGCTTACAAATTCGGAAATTCAAAATATGTTAATTGGAATTAATTTATGCACATGTCTCCCATAACGCAGTTAGCTGTATGTAGGTATGGCGGGTTCTTATGAAGGTCTGAACTTAAGAACCCTGATAGTGCCCTTGTTCGTTGCGGATATAACATGCGGATACTCTGCGAAGAAGCCTTCTCAATATTTAAATTTAGTTTTGAGTGGTACTGGTAGCTTTGCCATAGAACTGGATTCCGTATCTTTGGCTTTCCAGCTACTGGAAAGATAGCCTTATAAATGCTCAGCTGGCTCCCTGGCAAAGCTCAAAGCCTTGACGAGACAATACAACCTCTTCGCTTTTTAGGGCTTCTAACCATCCTAGTTACTGGTGTTCCTTATGCGGTTAAAGGAACTCACCGATATTCCAGCGACAGGCAAGTTTTCGCAGTTTTTCAGATGTTCTTGAATCCTTTTTGTGGCGTCATATATGTATTAACATTAAAAGCTTATTGAACTTGCAAAACAAGGTCAACAGTGAACCGGAAGAGCACATTCTGATGTTGATGATTTGTTGGTCCAGTTAATTAATTTAATAGCTGCTAGTGTGAAATGTTAAGAGCAGGAATTATCAATTAATCATTTATTAACGACACATGATTCTTAAAGTTTTCGAATTGCGCGCGTTATTAGCTGTTTAAAAGCCATTTAGTGTGACCAGCTGCTGCGATAGCAGAAACGATTACGTTTTCTTAACTTACGTCAATGTGCTGCACTGAGAAGAATTTGTTTATTTTTTTTATATACATTTTCCTAAACTGGTTCCAATGTACGATTATTTGCCAAATTATAATGCCATATAAATTATATAAAATTATTTTGTCTATGTTAGTTCTAAGCTTTTAGTAAAAATAAAGGGGGATGGTTACGTTTTTTCTCATACGTACTTTACCAACGTAATTTTTAAATCAGTGTGACCATTTGCTGTGAACGAGAAAATGCGCTCCGTTTTTGTTGAGCTAAGGCCACATTGCCCGCCACACGTGAAGGAATGAATAACAAATTGGACGAGGTCGTGTGTGTGTTGCCGTGTGTATTATGCAAGCAAAAGCTGTGTGAAAACAGCCGATAAACGAGATAATTTGATGCGAATTGCGAGGACAGCGTGCCGCTAGCTGCAGTTTCCCGAAATGTATCGTCTGTTGAGTGCAAATCGAGCGGCGGCGGTGCAAAAGGCACTGCGAGTGCCACCCACCGCCCACAACACAACAACAGTGTGCTGCGGCTGCGGCGGCAACTCTGGATTTGCGCCTCCGATCTTCGGGCATTATCAGCAGTATTATCAGATGCTATACCGCCAAATGCCGGCTGGTGAGAGCGATGACAAATACTAGCTCCTAATGGGTGTTTCTCAACGAGACATGTGCTTTCTTGCCGATTTCAGTGACACTTGCAGCGGCAACAGCAACATCGGCGACGGCGGCACGCACACAAACAACGATACCCACACAGACAGATGCAGTGGCCCAGACCAAAAAGAAGCGATTGCGCAAGCCGCGCTACGCCAAATATGTAGAGCTCCTCGAGGGTAGGTCGCATCCCAGCCAGAATTTGCATCAAAGTATCATTCTGTATACCTTTTCCAGTCACCGAGCAGGCCATCAGCGAGCGCCGGTCGCGGGTGAAGCGGCTCAAGTCCAAGAAGCTAGCCGACTTCATACAGAAAGCCCAGCTACAGATTCTGGAGAGGCGTGCGCGGGAGGATAAGAAGGACAGCAAGAAGAGCAAGGGCGGCGCCCTGGAGTCGACACAGCGGCAACCTGTGGAGTACCAAAAAATCGATATGGAGGCGTTGGATGCCTCTGTTCTGGAATCTGGCTTATACGATGACCGGCCGATGCTATTCTTTGGCAAGGATGAGTACACCAAGCAGGTGGTAGCGAATCCCGAGGAAGTCCAGAACATCCTCAAGAGTTTTAACAACTTTCGGGACATCATCGAGAGCCTTGAGAACGAACGTCACGAAGCCGACTTCGGGTAAGCTGAGTAATAGAAGAGAACTCTTGCATTATCGCTGGAAAGTTCTTTACTTTAAAATCATTTCACCTTTTAGTCTGAGTACCAAGGTTCCGTCTGAAGATCCCGAGGTCGTTGTCGATCCCTTTGAGGCCATCGAACCCTACATCAATCCTCTTGAGAGAAGCAGACCGTCTTCGGCAACGTCAGTGGTCTTGCCCGCAGCCAGTGCAGTTACAGCCAAGTCCAAAAAGCGGTGAGCTTGGATTTTAACAAAGATTTAAGCATAAATTTTTATATATATTCTTGTGGCAGCTTTAAGTCAAAGATTCATGTCAACGAGGAGCAGGAGCGTCTGGCCAAGCAGAGGGCGCTGCACATGAACCTGGTCACCTACCTGAACGTCTGCGTGTCGGCCAATATGCTGAGTCGTGCCTTGTCTACCATCATTGCATATCGCGGAAGGGTACGGAAGAGTTCCCTGCCCCATCTGTCCCAAGGCCTTATTACCGTCGATCTGTACAATATCCTGCTGCACGGTTATGCGGCCAAGGGCTTCTTTGAGCGGTCTCAGGAGCTGTTTCCGCTTATCAAAGAGGATGGTCTTGCGTTGAATGAACAAAGTTATGCTGCCATTTTCGAGTGCCTGGGCCGTCTGGAGTCGGACGAGGAGAATCAACGAACTATTGCCAAGTACATAGCACAGGCGGAGGACGAAGGATTCGGCCTGAACCAAATTATGGACCGTTCCAAGTTCGTAGCGGATCAGCGAGACATAGCCCTGGATGCCATTCGGCGAATTCGTCCGGACTTTACCCCCGTCTATGTGCCACCCCAGCTGGGCTACGACAACGAGCTGCTGAATCACCTGAATGAGCACACTCTGCCAGTGGAAGGATCTGCGCCAGCAGGAGACTCTGACTATGCGATTATGAACTCAAAGCTGGGCTACACCAAAGCCCAGTTGGAGCAGCTCGCCCGGGAGCAGCTCAAGGTAGAACTGGACGGCTGCATCACCATCAAGTCCATCGAGAAGTCCAAGGAGTTTGCCAATGCCGAACGATGCGTAAGTTTGATCTTCCTAAGTGTGTTACCCGATAGATAATGCTTTTCTTTTAGCGTGAGCGCCTGAAGGAGCTGGAGGAATCTTGGCGGAAGCAAATCTCTGCTGCCATTGTCCGGGATCTCAATACTATGCGGGCCCAGGTCCGCTTCAAGCCACATGGCTTTATGACCTACTATACGTACCTGAAGACCCTGGACACCTCGCACTTTTCCGACATCCTAATCAAGGAGCTCTACAAGCTGGCCGAGGGCTCAGAGACATTCAGCCCGACGGTGGGCCAGTTGTACAAGGAACTCGGCCAGAAGGTGCAGCGACGCTACCAGATCGAGCAGAAGAAGCACAACGGCACGCTGGAGAAGGTGGGCGAAATCTATAGCTCGTACTGTGACCTGTGGGACAGCGGCAGGACGCAGGACAACACGCGGCAGGCGTGGCAGCGCCTCGTGCACGAACAGCGCGAGAGTGGGCCAAGCATGGATCTGCCGGAGGTGCCGTGGCCATCCAATGTCCTCACTGGCGTGGGTCGTTTCCTGTACAACATATTGATGCGGGACATCAAGATCGATGCCAATGTGATGAGGAAGCAGAAGAGCAAGTCCAAGACGACTACCCAGCCCCAGAATCTGTTGCCCGCCTTCTACACTCTGTTCCGTAACCAGGGCCGCTTGGTTAAGGAGGAGGTCAAGCCACATCCGGTGCTGGCGAGACTGCTGCGGGCTTCGCGCCAGCAGACGCTTACCTTTGAGTCGAATCTGGTGCCCATGCTGTGTCCCCCACAGCCCTGGAGTACTCCCCACAACGGGGGCTACCTGCTGAACAAATCGGAGCTCATTCGTCTGCCCCACCAGGCCATCCAGCAATGGGAGCGCATTGGAGCCTCGAATCCGCAACATCTGTATCCTGCCCTAGACTCTCTGAATCAGCTGGCCAGCGTTCCCTGGCGGGTGAACACCCAGCTGTTGGATGTGATTGTTGAGGTGTTCCAGAATGGTGGCGACGCCAAGCTGGATGTCCCCCAGCCGCCCAGTTCTCTGCCTCAGCTGCCCACGCTGCCGGCCAAGGACGCCGATGGAAATGCTGCCTCCAATGCGGATCGCGCCAAGCAGTTCCGAGATAAAATGGGTCACCGCAGGAAGCAGGCCGAAATGTACAGCTTGTGGTGCGATGCTCTTTACAGGCTGTCGCTGGCTCAGCACGTGAGTATTTGTGCGAAACTTAAACGAAATCTGTACTCATTTTCCCTATTTGTTTCTCCTGTTTTTCAGTACCGCGACAAAGTCTTCTGGCTGCCGCACAACATGGATTTCCGCGGACGCGTCTATCCCGTGCCGCCGCATCTCAATCACTTGGGCTCGGACTTGGCCCGCTCTATGCTCATCTTCGATCAAGCCCAGCCACTGGGAGTGGACGGCTTCAGCTGGCTCAAACTGCATTGCATCAACCTGACGGGTCTGAAGAAGCGGGACTCGGTGAGGGAGCGCCTTCTGTACGCGGAGGAGATCATGCCGGAGATACTGGACTCGGCGGACAATCCGCTCACAGGACGCCAGTGGTGGGCCAAGTCGGATGAACCGTGGCAAACTCTGGCCTGCTGCATGGAAATAGCCAAGGTGCATCGCTGTCCGGATCCCGCCGCCTACCTCAGCCGCTTCCCCATCCACCAGGATGGTTCCTGCAACGGGTTGCAGCATTATGCGGCCTTGGGAAGGGACAAGGCGGGTGCTTGCAGTGTCAATCTGGCGCCGTCCGCCATCCCGCAGGATGTGTAC